CCATAAAGGAATTATGACATAGTATATACTTAATAAATGTTTGGATGGCTAAGTCTTATATCTGTATAGTTATCTGTCACTGCACATCAGATTATTCCTTCACCTAGTGACTCAAAACAATAAGCTATCTCACACATTTTCCATGAGTTAGGAGTGACTTAGATGGTTCTGGTTCATGAGACTACATTTATCTTAAGTCCTGACAGGGTCTGGGGGAACCACTTCCAGTATGACTCACTTAATTGATAACAACTTAGTTCTGGAGGCCTCAGATCCTTGCCATGTGGACTAAGCCTGGGTAAGTATTCTCACAACACTGTGTGTGGCTTCCTCCAGAGCAGGAATTCATGAGAGAACAAGGCAGAAGATGTAATAACATTAAGACCTAGCATTGAAAGTTACATTCTTTTATTTTTATAATATTCTATTGGTTACACAGATTACTTAATATTCAGTATTACTTAATATTCCGTAAAAGCTGTGAATCCTATATGTCAAGACTCATTGGGGACCATCTTGAAGGCTGGCTACCACAGTTTCTGACTTGAGCTAAAAATAGAAGAGCATATTAAATCCAAAGTAAGCAAAGGTAAAAAATAATAAAGATTAGAGCAAAATTTAATTAAAAAACCGTACAAAATATCAATGAAGCCAACTGTTGGTTGTTTAAAAAATTAGTAGAATTAATAAATTCCCAGCAAGACTAATCAGGAAATTACGAAAAAGCAGATTACCAGTATCAGCGATGAAGGGGGTGTATCACTAAAGATTCCTCAGAATTAATTGAAAGATTAATAAAGAGAATGGTATGAACAACTTTATGCCAATTTGATAACTTAGATGAAACAAATTCCTTGATAAGCCACAGCTTTATCAAAATTGACTCAAAAAAGAAGTCTGAATTGCCCTGTATCAAAGAAACTGAATTCACAATTCCTCCTGACAAAACTCCAGACCCAAATGATTTCACTAGTGATTTTTTTCTAACATGTAAAGAAAAAAACATCATTCTTTCAGAAAACAGAAAAGGCTCCCCAAATCCCCTGCTTTTTTTTTTTTTTTTTTTTTTTGAGATGGAGTTTTGCTCTGTCACCCATGCTGGAGTGCAATGGCGAGATCTCCGCTCACTGCAACCTCAGCCTTCCGGGTTCAAGCCATTGTCCTGCCTCAGCCTCCCAAGTAGCTGGGACTACAGGCATGCATCACCACGCCTGGCTATTTTTTGTATTTTTAGTAGAGACGGGGTTTTACCATGTTGGCCTGGCTGGGGTCTCAGCCTCCCAAAGTGCAGGGATTACAGGCATGAGCCACTGCGCCCGCTTTGTATGGATGTGTGTGTGTGAGACAGACTCTTAACTCTGTCACCCAGCCTAGAGTGCAGTAGTGTGATCACAGCTCACTGCAGCCTCAGCCTCCTAGGCTATGCTCCCCAAGCTGCTCTTGAACTCCTGGGCTCAAGTAGTTCTCCCATCTGGTCCTCCCCAAATGCTGGGATTATAGGCACAAGCCACCATGCCCAGCCCCAATTCATTTTTTGAGGCTGGTGTACCTGATACACCTGGCAAAGACAATATAATCCTCTCAACAGGAAAATTATTTGGCACATTTTAACCATTCTCATGATAAAAATTTACAACAAAGTAGCAATAAAAGAAAATTTCTTCAGCTAATAAAAAATACCTAGAGAAGCATACAGGCATCATCATATTTCTGTGGTGAAGAGATTGAACGCTTTTGCCCTAAAATCAAGAACAAGGCAAAGATGCTTGCTCTCGCTGTATCTATTTAGTAATCATACTGGAGGTTCCAGGCGAAGCAAGAAAAAGAAAGAAAAGGGATAATTTGTAAAGGAAGAAATAAAACTATCTCTGTTTGTAGAAGACATAATACTCTGCATAAAAAAATCCTAAAGAATCTACCAAAAGATCTGCATGTAGGCAAGTGTTAAAAAAAAAAAAAAAAAAAAGAATCTACCAAAAGAAACCCAATTAAAATTATTAGAATTAATACATGAATTTAGTAAGGTCACAGGATACCAGCTGCATATACAAAAATGAATACTAGCATTATAACCGGAAATAATACCAGCATTCAACAATTGAAGAAATAAAAAAAAATTAAGTACCATTCATAACATTAAAAAGCATTTTGTTTTTAGGAATAAATGTAAAGAAAGCTATACATGGCCCCCACACTGAAAGCTACAAAGCATTACTGAGAAACACAAGGAAGATAAAGACTAGAAGTCTCAAATTGTTAAGAATTTCATTCTCCTCAAATTGATGTATAAATTCAATACAGTAGAAGTCCCATCAGGGTATAAAAGTATATAACTGACAAGCTGATTCTAAGATTTATATGCAGATACAAAAAACAGTATTTCTATGTTGAATAGCCAAAAAAATCTTTAAAGAAGAACAGAGTTGATGGATTTATACTACCTGTTTTCAAGACATACTATAAAACTACTGAAATCAAAACAGTGATACTGGGGTAAAGATCATCAACTTACACAATAGCTATAAGAATAGACCCGTTAATGTGGCTGGTTGATTTTTGACAAAGGACCAACATAATGCCAGAAAGGACAGTCTTCTCGATAAATGATGCAACAACTGGATATTTGTATAAAAAATAAACATTAACCCCTACTTAACACCACATGCAAAATTTAATTCGGAGTTTATCCCAGGATAAAACATTAAAAATGGGAAATTTCCAGGACAAAATGGGGAAAATATTCATAATCTTGGAGGAGGCAAAGATTTATTTCTTCTTTCGAGACAGGTTCTATCACCCGGACTGGAGTACAGTGGGTTGATCTTGACTCACTGCAACCTTTGTCTCCCGGGTTCAAGCAGTTCTCCCACTTCAGCCTCCTGAGTGGCTGGGACTACAGGTTCATGCCGCCACACCCAGCTAAATTTTGTATTTTTAGTAGCGATGGGGTTTCACCATGTTGACCAGGCTGGTCTCGAACTCCCTGACCTCAAGTGATGCACCCAGGTAGGCCTCCCAAATTGCTGGGATTACAGGCATAAGCCACTGCACCCAGCCAGGATTTCTTAATTAATTGAAAACCATTGCAATTAAAACCTTTTCCTTTTGAGAACACCATTTAAAAAATGAAAAGGCAGCCAGTGGTTCACAACTATAATCCCAGCACTTTGGGATACCTAGGCAGGAAAATCACTTGAGGCCAGGAGTTTGAGACCAGCCTGGCCAGCATAGCAAAAAAATTTTTTTAATTAGCTGAGCGTGGCGGTACATGCCTGTAATCCCAGCTTCTTAGGAGGATGAGGTGAGAAGATCACTTGAGCCCAGGAGTTAGAGGTTGCAATGAGCTATTATCACCACTGCACTCATGCCAGGGGAACAGAGCAAGACCCTGACTCTTAAAAAAAATGAAAAAGCTACAACTGAGATGACACATTTGCAAAATGTAACGGAACAACACTTGTATCCAGAATATATGAAAAACATATACATAGCTCAGTAAGAAACAGAAAAGAAATAAGTAGTAAAAATCACATACTTCACAAAAGAATATGTGTGGTTGGGAGTGGTGGCTCATACCTGTAATCCTCGTACTTTGGGAGGCCAAGGCAGGTGGATCACCTGATGTCAGGAGTTTGAGACTAGTCTGACCAACATGGCAAAACCCTGTCTCTACTAAAAAGTACAAAAATTAGCTGGCATGGTGGTGGGCATCTGTAGTCCCAGCTACTCGGGAGGCTGAGGCAGGAGAATGAATTGCTTGAGTCCAGGAGGCAGAGGGTGCAGTGAGCTGAGCTTGTGCCGTTGCGCTCCAGGCTGGATGATGAGCAAAACTCTGTCTCAAAAATATATATATATATATATGAATGGTCAATAAGCACTTGAGAAGATGCAGAACATCATTGGTCATTCAGAAAGAACCCCAATGAGATACCACCCATACTTATTGGATTGGCTAAATTTAAAAGACTGAAAATGCCAAATGTTGACAAAGATTTGGAGCAACTAGAAATTGTAGGAGTGTAAAATGGTACAGCTACTTTGAAAAATAGTTTGGTGGCTGGATGCAGTAGCTCATACCTGTAATCCTAGCACTTTGGAAGGCCAAGGCAGGCAGATCACTTGAGACCAGCCTGGCCAACATGGTGAAACTGCATCTCTACTAAAAATAGAAAAAATTACACAGGTGTGGTGGTGTGTCCCTGTAATCCCAGCCACTGGGGAGGCTGAGGCAGGAGAATTACTGGAACCCAGGAGGTGGAGGTTACAGTGAGCAGAGATCCCACCACTGCACTCCATCCTGGGTGACAGAATGAGACTCCATCTCAATAAAAGAAAAAAAGCAAAATAATTTGGCAGATTTTTTTGTTTGTTTGTTTGTTTGTTTGTTTAAGACAGAGTTTTGCTGTTGTTACCTAGACTGGAGTGCAATGGCACGATCTCGGCTCACCACAACCTCTGCCTCCTGGGTTCAAGCAATTCTCCTGCCTCAGCCTCCCGAGTAGCTGGGACTACAGGCGCTCACCACCATGCCCAGCTAATTTTTGTATATTTAGTAGAGACGGGGTTTCACCATGTTGACCAAGATGGTCTCGAT